ATATATTTGGCTCTGTATATTCAGTTGTCTTTTAAAAATGTTGAATAACATGTGAGAGTAACTTTTGAATAAATGCATTCCATTCTAAGTACTATGTTTGCAAGTATCTCAACAACATAGTCCATTTGTTGTGTGATTCCATTTTCTTTAAAGAAAGGAAAATTCATAGAGACAGAAATCAGAATAGTGACTGGCAGAGGATGGCCACTAGGAGCTGGCAGTTTTGTGAATACTGGGGTTCCATTTGCCATGACTTTTTTGGTTTTTTTAAGACAGGGTCTCCCTGTAGCCCCAGGTGGTCTAGAACTCACTTTGTAGACCAGCCTGGCCTTGATCTCACAGAGATCCTCCTGTCTCTGTCTCCTGAATGTTATGGCTAAGGTATGTGCCCCAACACCCTGGTTTCATTTACCTTGATTTTTAAAAATCTAAGAATAGTGATAGTTGTACATCATTTGAAAATACTTAATGCCATTGGATTGCATTCTTTTTGTTTGTTTGTTGGCTGGTTGGTTTTTGAGACAGGGTCTTGCTAAGTATCTCTAATTGGACTGGAACTGGCTATATAGATGAGGCTGTCCTCCAATTTGCAGCCATCCTTCTGCCTCAGCTTCCTGAGAGCCAGAATTATAGCAACCCCTTGACTCAGTTGTATTCTTTAATTTACGTGGTCACTTTTATGTTTTACATATTTTATTAATAAAAGATTAGATGGATGTCCAAGTGAATGTTAGATACTAATTATATTTTACTTGCTTTTATATTTAGCAGTCTGGAGATTAGGAGATCAGTATAGGCTGGAGTTATAAACTCCAAGCCATCAGTGGAAAGATGATATTTTGAATCATGGGCAGTATCCTCATCACAGAATCCCAAGCTTTAGTGCTATAGTGAGTCTCTGTTAAAAGTTCATCATCTTGGTTTTCATAGGAGGAAAAGGCCATTATGCCCTACAGATGTGAAATGATAGCAGAGTAGTCAGCAAGTAACCATGAAGCAATTTTGACAGCGTGTATGAAATTCAGATATCTCAAATGTCAGAAGAGGAAATAACACACTGGTGGTCATTTCACCCAACTTCTGAATTGCCTTTTATTTAGAAGGGAATTCAATTTATATGTTTGGATGTTCAAGAATAATACAGAGCTTCAGTGGCAAACTAAGACCCCAAATCATGCTCCAGAGTTTAGGTGTAATTTGCTAGTGTCTTCAGGGAGTTTATATTTACAGGTTTGTTTTTACACACAAACACTAACGTCACTTTTGTTATATTTTTTAAGTGGGTTAATGTGCTTGCATGCCACTGAATTGCATTCTTTTTGTTTGTTTGGTTTGGCTTGGTTGCTTTGTGAGGCTTACTCAGTAGCCTTGGCTGGCCTAGAACTGACTATATTAATGAGGCTGTCATCAAGCAAGGACTCTGACTTCTGTTAAAAAGAAGGCAGATGTATAGTGAGATGTTAAAGTAATCTCCAGGTCACAGAAACAGAAGATTGGGATTTATTTACCTTACTTCCCTAAACAATTACTGAAAAAACTTTACTTAATTTTTTTT